GCATGTACAGAGAGAACAAGTAAATTCCACCCAGAAAGGCCTCCGGTCGGGATATAAATCGAGGCGACTTTCTTGCTGAGAGGCACCACCTCTACCATGCTCAATGATCCAAAGAAACCATCCAGATGGATTGATGAAGTCCTTTGGATGAAGGACGAAACGTCTCAACAACAACAACAAAAAGAAACCATCCAGATAACCTGAATGAACTTTGTTGGATTTTCTACCTGGATTATTGAGCATGAACGTTGATGTTTTGAACCACTTTAGCCATGGCTGCCCCACAAGAGTCAACGGGGGAGAGGGTGGGCCCCAGAAACCATCTTATCACCAGCAAACTGGTTGGTCCACTATGGGAGTGTGCTGCTTGTGGGACTGAGTTTGTTGTGGCTCCTCGGATTGATGAAGTCCTTTAGATAAAGGATGAAATGTCTCAACAAACAAACAAACAAACATCCAGATGACCTGACTGAACTTTGTTGGATTTTTGACCTGGATTATTGCGCATGAACTTTCAAGACTGACTCAATAGTTTACTGAAACAAAAAGATTTGTATCTGTTTTGTTTCCAATAACTTTGTCTTCTCTTATTTTTAGTCTTGCTGAGCTGAGAAGGTGCTGGAAGGTTTATTTTTTCCTCCAAGTGAGTGAGCGGGGGTTTGGAGAGCATTAAAATCGTGAACCACTACTGTCAATCATTAGCTTATTATCAAGGTCAGTGAGGTTTGACAGAAACCAAAGGGCTGTCAAGGCAACAACAATTATAAAAACATCGGAGGGAAAAAATACAGGGAGGCCCGAGGAGGACCGAGACATCCGACACGTATCCAGGATAATGAAAGTGGAGACTAGGGACTGTTTAAAAACCAAAACAGAGTGAGTGAAAGTGGGAACACCTGGGATGATTACTGATTGGGGACAGGTGGGGGCGGCAAGCTGACTGTAAAACCACTGACTGAGGATCAATGGGAGATGGCACAAGATCACAAAAGATCTAAAGTGAACAGGAAAACAGAACTCAAAGGACAAAAATAAAAGCACAGAGACGACACCATAAACTTTGTACAGCTGCTTTCCATGCGTGGGCCTGGGTTCTGTTCACTGAATGGGAAACCAGGAGGTGCAACAAGCAGACTTTCCCTAACCAGATAAAAACATTTCATAATAATTTTAACCTTTTTTTTAAGATTTGAATCACCAGCTCCTGTCAGACACAGATAAGTGATAATATATATAATATGTATTTTTGTGTTCATGTGTTTGTAGAGACCTGCAGAAAGTACTAACTGAAAGAACATCTATAACTGATGAACTTTTGGTGTCGCTGCCAAAGCTAACTAAACTTAAACTATTCATTTAAAAACCTGCTATGACTTTTTTTTTTTTGTGTGTCAAATTTGTGTCTGTTTGCAAAATATGTCATGAACTACTTGACAAATGATAATGAAACTTTCAGTAAGTAATCATTAGATGAACATCTATAACTGATTAATTCATGGTGCTAACCCAGGTCAAGATGGCAGCGGTCAGCTGATCTTAGAAGAGACATAAATGGGTATAGCTCAGTGGTGTAGTCTACATTTTGCTCAGAAACCAAAGTACAATTAAGTTAGTACAATGTATTTGTCAATTAGTTTTGATTTTTAAACATATTGAACATTCCCAAATATCTCTGATGCTTATATTTGAATAAATGAACATCAAACTTTGTACCACAGTTGGCTTTGTATTGAAAACATGTTATAGTATCAAACAGTATCAACGCAAAACATGTTCAAGTATTAAGTAGTAAGTACTGAAGTATTAATTATAAAATAATTTGCTGGATAAGCAAATGTAATAAACAAGCGCTGCATAGAGATGGATTGTTACGGAAGTGTTTAACTGCTTTTAATGTATCAATGACACATGTCTAATGATATGTCATGTAACATTTTTATACTGAAATTCTTAAGCTTTTCTAGTGGGTATACTCCGTACGCCCGCGTTTCACGTAGACTACACCACTGGTATAGCTCAGTATATTTTACAGGTACTGTGATAAAATAATGGCACTGTTACAGCAGAGTCATGTACAACACATACTTCAAGGCTTCACATTGCACAAGATGTTTGCTCAAAACTTTTGCAATAAATGTAGGAGTCAACCATATCCTGATGCTGCTCAATAATCCAGGTAGAAAAATCTAAGGTTAAGTCAGGTCCTCTGGATGGATTCTTCTTGTTAAAATGTTTCATCTTTTATCCAAAAGACTTCTTCAGTGTGAGGAGCTGCAACAAACTCAGTCATAAATTGCACCTTCTCATAGTGGATGAACCAGTTTGCTGCTGACGTCCAGAACTAGCTGTTCACATGATCAAGGAGGACCATCAGCCTAACAGTTGATCGTTAGTGTCCGGATGGCCGCTTGCTATAGGGGTAGGGGTCAACTATTTTTGTCTTTTAGCAAAACATGTCATAAACCACTGAATAGATTTTAATGGACCTATCGGAAAACAATCATTGGCTGTCCACCAACAGGTGATTAACATTCTGTCAGTCAATCCAATTGTAGATGGCCACCACACGACAACACGATAAAGCTTAGTCTGTTTTAAAGATATTGAGCTCAAATATGAAGTAGTAGTAGCTGAGTCCTTAACTAACCCTGAGCATGACTCTGCGTGATATTATTCACAACATGCTTAATAATCTGGTAGAAAATCCAA